ACACCATGGACCAGGGTAGGACCACCAGAGGCAGGGATAGGGAGGGAGGGCCACCAGGGGCATGGATAGGGCCACCAGGAGCTGGGGGGGGGGGGCAATCAGGGAAAGGGTAGGGGCTAGGTCAACCAATACCCATTCATGCAAAACTATCAACTTTAAAATTTGACCTTTTTTACCTTTTTTGACCTGACCTTGACCAGAAAGTGACCTAAGCCGTACCTGATAGCCTTATAACCAACACCATTGAGTTGGAAATGAAAAATTGGCCATAAAACATGCATCACACAACCTTAGTACCTAAAGTTAGGTTCATGTGACCTGACCTGTGACCCTTGGTGACCTGACCTGTGACCTGACCTGGTAATGTCAGTGACCTCTTATAGCAACATATGTACTAGGCAACTGACGCCCTATCGCTGATTCTCGACAAAATGCGTTTTCTTCGGTGTTATAGCGCATTCCCTAGATGACCCGTGAACGGTGAAACATTTCATCTTTGACCTGACCTGTGACGTCATCGGTGACCCCGAGGTCAATGAAATTTGGTTTCCCTCAGCAAATTTGACAGGCCTTTCGAACGCCGTTTGAATTTTGCGGATCCGTCCAGTAGTTTCGGAGATACGAGAGGGGGGGAAATAGCCCCCCACCAGGTCGCGTTATAAACAGACCCCACCAGGGCGCGGGTTAAGGTCACCAGGGACAGGGTTAGGGCCAATAAGGGCAAGGGTAGGACTACAGGGGCAGGAGTAGGTACCTACTAGGGCAACCAGGGGCATGGATAGGACCACCAGGGACAGGGATAGGGTCATAAGGAGCTAGGACAACCAGGGGCAGGGCCGCCAGGGGCAGGAGTAGGTGCTAGGGCAACCAGGGGCAGGGGTAGGACCACCAGGGACAGGGATAGGTGCTAGGTCAACCAGGGGCAGGGGTAGGACCACCAGGGACAGGGATAGGTGCTAGGGCAACCAGGGGCAGGGGTAGGACCACCAGGGACAGGGAAAGGGCCATAAGGAGCTAGGGCAACCAGGGGCAGTGGTATAGTTAGGGCCACCAGGGGCAGAGGTTAAGGCCACCAGGGACAGGGGATTAAGGCCAACAAGGGCAGGGGCAGGGATGGGCCGCCAGGGACAAGAGTGGGAGCTAGGGCAAGCAGGGATGGTGCCACCAGGGACAAGAGTGGGTGCCACCAGGCCCAGGAGCAAGGTCAGGGCCACCAAGGGCAGGGCAAGGTGCTACGTTAACCAGGGGCAGGGATAGGGCCAACAGATGCTGGAGTAGGACAACCAGGGGCAGGGATAGGGCCACCAGGAGCTAGGGCAGCCTGGGCAAGGGTAAGGGCTAAGGAAACCAATACAGGGTTAGGGGCTCTAGCAACCAATGCAGGGTTAGAGGCTATGGCAACCAATGCAGGGTGAGGGGCTATGACAACCAATGCAGGGTTAGGGGCTATGGCAACCAGGGGCAGGGTAAGGGCCACCAGACACATGGATAGTCCCATCAGGAGCTAGGTCAACCAGGCCAGCGGTAGGGGCTTGGGCGCCCCACCAAAGGCAGGACGAGGGCCTAGGACAGCCAGGGGCAGAGATAGGGCAGCCAGGGACAGGGTTAGGGCAGCCAGGGGCAGGGTTAGGGCAGCCAGGGGCAGGGTTAGGGCAGCCAGGGGCAGGGTTAGGGCAGCCAGGGGCAGGGGTAGGGCAACCAGGGGCAGGGCTAGGGCAGCCAGGGGCAGGGAAACCACGGCCAGGGTAGGGCTAGGACCAGGGGCACGACTTCTAGGGGCAGGGACGGGGACACCATGGAGCAGGGTACGGGGTAGGACCACCAGGAGCAGGGATAGGGCCACCAGGAGCTGGGGGCAATCAGGGAAAGGGTAGGGGCTAGGGCAGCCAGGAGGGGTGGGGATAGGGCTGCCATGGGCAGGAGTAGGTGCTAGGGCAACCAGGGGCAGGGATAGGGTCACCAGGGGAGGAGTAGGGTACTAGGGCAACTAGGGGCAGGGTAAGGCCATCAAAGGCAGGGAGAGGGCCTAGGACAGCCAGGGGCAGAGATAGGGCCACCAGGGGCAGGGCTAGGGCAACCAAGGGGCACCGGGCAGGGGTAGGGCAACCAGGAGCAGGGCAGTGCTAAGGCAGCCAGGGACAGGGGCTAGGGCAGCCAGGGGCAGGGAAACCATGACCGGGGTAGGGGACCACCAGTAAGTAAGGCAACCAGGGGCAGGGACGGGGACACCATGGAGCAGGGTACGGGGTAGGACCACCAGGAGCAGGGATAGGGCCATCAGGGGCATGGATAGGGCCACCAGGAGCTGGAGGCATTTAGGGAAAGTGTAGGGGCTAGGACAGCCAGGGGAGGGGTGGGGATAGGGCTGCCATGGGCAAGGGTAGGGCTAGGGCAACCAGGGGCAGGGATAGGGCCACCAGGAGCTAGGATAACCAGGGACAGCAGTAAGGGCTAGGGCAACCAGGGGCAGGAGTAAGACCACCAGGGGTCAGGGGAGGAGTAGGGTACTAGGGCAACTATGGGCAGGGTAGGGCCACCAAAGGCAGGGCGAGGGCCTAGGACAGCCAGGGGCAGAGATAGGGCCACCAGGGGCAGGGGTAGGTCCACCAGTGACCAGGGGCAGGGTTAGGGCAGCCAGGGGCAGGGTTAGGGCAGCCAGGGGCAGGGTTACGGCAGCCAGGGACAGGGTTAGGGCAGCCAGAGGCAGGGAAACCATGGCCAGGGTAGGGCTAGGACCAGCAGTAGGTAGGGCGACCAGGGGCACGACCACTAGGGGCAGGGATGGGGACACCATGGAGCAGGGTAGGACCACCAGGAGCAGGGATAGGGCCATCAGGGGCATGGATAGGGCCACCAGGAGCTGGGGGCAATCAGGGAAAGGGTAGGGGCTAGGGCAGCCAAGGGGAGGGGTGGGGATAGGGCTGCCATGGGCAGGAGTAGGTGCTAGGGCAACCAGGGCCGGGGCAGGGATAGGGCCACCAGGAGCTTGGACAACCAGGGGCAGCAATAAGGGCTAGGGCAACCAGGGGCAGGGATGGGAGTTGGGACCACCAGGGGCATGATTAGGGCCACCAGTGGCAGAGTTCGGTACACCAGGGGCACAGGGTTAAGGCCAACAAGGGCAGGGGAGAACCACCTGGGGCAGGGATGGGGCCACCAGAGACAGGAGTAGGTGCTGGGGCAACCAGGGCCAAAGGCTAGAACAACCAGGGGCAGGGGTAGTACAGACAGGGGCAGGGATAGGACCACCACTAGAAGGGCCACCATGGGCAGGGGTAGATCAGCCAGAGGCAGGGGAGGGACCACCAGGGGCAGGGCAGGGACCAACAGGGGCAGGGCAAGGGCTGTAATGGACAGGGGTGTGTGAGTGTCAGGAGCAGGAGTAGATCTAGGAGCAAAGGAAGGGCCATGTGGGACAAGGCAAGGGCTGTAAGGAACTGGGATGTGAGTGCAATCACTGTATGGGTCTGAAGGGGCAAGGACAGATTTTCCAGGAGCATGGGTAAGACCAACAGGGCCAGGGGCAAGGCCTCCAGGAGCAGATATGGGGCCACAAGGGCCAGGGTGTGAGTGAAATGGGCAGCAGCACTAATGACGGAGGTTTGGCCACATCCAGGGGCAGAGGTAAATCCATCTTCCATGCGCAGGGGTTAGCTGCCGAGGGCAGGGTGAGGGTTTTTGCATGCAGAGGGGCGAGGGCAGGGGTGGGCCAACTGCCAAGCCTTGGGACTTGCAGTGGCACTGGAGAGTGGAAGGAATGTTCATAGCAGCTAGAATTTGACTGGTGAATTTGAAGATGGTTAAAGGATGCATTTTACATTGGACATTCCAATTGTAAAATCAAGCAATACAAAGAAAGTTCTTTTTATAGTAAGGGTCAATTTTCGGAAAGTTGAATAAAATACATTCAAGTGGGAGATCATTCATTTTATGAGATTAATTTTATTTTTACTACGACGCTGCAAAATATTTTAAGCCATATCAACAAAATTATTATGAGCACACATCGGGCCCTGTTTCATGACAACACTGACCCTACCCAGGTATTGGCACTAAGGTTCCATGGAAACTAAAGCAGAATTGCCAATTTTGTTTTACATTTCCATAGAAACTGAACACCAGTGCCTGCTAGCATCGGGTAGCATAACACATTAAAACATGGCCCAGGTGCCACACAAGGGGTGCTCCTTACAATACCTAGTCCTAGTAGGTGCTGGCAGCATGTCACTCATGGCACAGGGTTTTGATTTAGCAGTAATATTTTTAATTGATTGTTCCGCACATATCGACTTAGGATGAAATGAATTATAGCTCAGAGAGACGAGACCACAAACTAGCTAGGTGATGCAATGCAAAGATAAGTACCAGGTGGCATCACAAAAATTACGCACAGGCCATGCTGACGTCACAGTGTAAACACCGAGCTGCCTGGATAATACTATTTTACGAGAAAGCTATCTCATCAACTGGGCCACAATGAAAACTGCTAGCTTACAAAAAAGCATTAGAAAATAGCATAGCAAAATAGCAAACAAATAACACAACTTTTGTATCATAGCCTCAGCCTCCCTTGGGTCAATCAAGCCAACTGAAACTGCCTGCAATTAATTCTACATTGACATTGATCAAATCAAAGTACAGGTAAGTACTTACGCTAGGAATTCAAGTATCATTTGTGTACTACACTAACCATTGTCAACAAAAATCATGCTTTCAGCAAATTGCTCACCCTCAACACTCCAGATTCACCACAGACGCCTCCAGCTCGCCAACCGGTCCCCAGCCGAACGGACGCGGAAAGAAAAACGCGCACCCCTCGTCCCGCCGCCGACGCAACCCTTTCTTTGTTAAAATTCGCGCGGGACTTTGTGCGCATGCGCAGGCCCCATTACGTCACAGACTGGACGTGATTTTAGCACGTCAAGCCGCTGGAGTAAATCTACTTCGATCTGACGTGATTTTGGTCGCATTTTCCCCTGTGCTTAAAACTACTCCAGTCGGACGTCATTTAATCCCATGCAAAGCCGTGTGTAAAACTACTCAGAACCGAGAGTTGACGTGAAATAAGCAGGTACCGGTTGGTGTGTAAATCTACTCAGAACCGACGTGAAATACACAGTCGGTGGCGTTTTGAGTAATTGTACTTCTGACTTCATAAACACGCTTCCATCTGCTGTAGATATTTTTTCACAGTGGATGGCTTCCTATTGGCTATTTCCATAAAGTTGTAAATTTTCATTTTGATCTGAGAATTATAGTTGTAGGTATAGATACCTACATCTAAATGGTAAGACCGATATTTTGATTTCAAAATTCAGAAAATCAAAACAAGTGAAGATAACCTTTTGATTGCCAGAGGCACACTCATAATTAAATGCTATTAACCACCAAAGTGGTATGCTCATGAACAGATAAATCAACTTTCAACCCGCACCCCACTGGGGGGGGGGGGAGGGGGAGGGCTTCATAGTCCCCCTCCCATTTTTCTGCCATAACTTCTAAACTGCTAGACGTACTGACTCCAAACTTTCAGTACCTTAAGCTGTATCAATTTGACACCTTAACCTCGTGTCAATTATGAACTTCGTAGCTACCTTAGGGCTTAGGTCGGCCCGAAATGACGTCAGAGTCAGAGTGACCTATTTAGATTCAGGTCAAAGCTTGACGTGAATTTCATCCAGATATGGTCCATAGCACTAATTTAGTATGCCCATTGAGTTAACCCTCGCCGGCCTAGGGGACTGGGGAGGGGCGGGTGCTACCCCTCGTAGGGTTTTTTCGGGATAGCTCCGAACACGCTGGTGATAGAGAGCTGAACCTTGGCATACCTGACCTCTGATTCAAGCCGGATCTTTTGACACCAACCACATTTTTGGGTCAGGTCGTCAGGACCAGGGCAGTGTTTCACGGGCTGCTGCTACCACGCTGCTATCAAATTGCGCGAGCTGACGTCACACTTGTGGTAGTGTTGGAGCAATGGGCCTGTTGATGTCTCCATGGAAACCCAATTTGACAAGTCGTAAAATCGGCGTGCTGCTATCACCGGTGAAACAGGGCCCAGGTCACTGACCTATGACGTCATAAGTGAACCTCTGCACGGTCTTCAGATGTCGCAACTTCACATTTCACAACGCCCTCACTGCCAGAGGAACTTTCACAGGGAAATGAAACTTGCAGGATCTACTCAATCTAGTATTCATTACGAGTCTCACAACTCGTATATCTTGGATTTTTCCTAAAGGTCATATGAGGTCAGGTCATTTTTGTGACCTCACCATTATAAGTCAATGGGGAAAAATAAAAACTGCTATTCTGGCGCCAGGAACGATCTCCAACTATCTCAAGCACACAGAATCGTGATTTGATGCACTCCTTGCAAGGTTAGATGCGTAACTTTTGCAATGTTATTGTTGACCTTGCGTGACGTCATTTATGACGTCATCAAGGTCATATTAGTTTTTTCGTCAATAACTCCCGATCAAATTGAGCTAGCGAGTCGGGAAAGCCACCAATGGACTCAGGAAGACCTGCCGAATCGAATGATATGCGACATGACCTCTTTCGACTAACCTCGTGACCTGGGGGCGCTGACCTGACCGTGACCTGAGGTCAACACCCTAAGTTGACCTGACCCAAACAAAAAGTAGATCATTCGACGCGCCTGAGCGAGGCAAACACGATGCTGCCAAAATCGCGGCTCTGCGGCCGTTTTTGCGAAGTTATTCACCAAAAACTGAACCGTACCTTGGGGCACTTGACCTGACCTCAGAGGCCACCGGTTGATCTAGGACCTTAAAATCGGGTACCAATCTCTGCGTCTCGTAACGGCGCACACGCTCGTTTTTTCCGCAACGCGCTAGCTCCACCAGGGGCGAAACGGCGAGGGGGTCGTACCCGCCCCCCCCCCCTCGGCCGGCGCGTATGTAGAAAACCAATAGATCCGGCGAGGTTTAAATGCATAAAATGACCCATAGCACAATATGGCACAGATCTTATTCTTTAGTTCATCTTTGTTGATCTGACCTTGCCCTTGACCTTGGCCCTTGAATTACATTGCATTGAATGTTATGCATCGACTTGTCTTGTAGACAAAGGATGCATTTTTGGTTGATCAATCTTGGTCCATTCTTCATCAACTGGGCTCTGAAGCCAGTAATGTAGAAACTTGCAGTCTTTACCCTTAACTTATTTAGACATACAACGACTCCACAAGTAGGTGCTGTGGCTATTCTGCCGAGGTGATTATGAAGGATATGAGACAAATTACTATGGAATGTGACGGAAAGGATAAGGGTAGTTGAGCAATTGTTAACAGGACTGTGAGTGCTGCTGCTGCCACAGGCGCTGCGCACATCAACAGTCTGTGCAAGGATGCCGAAAAGGATATCACCAGGGCCCTAAAACAGAAAAAGTAAAAACAAAAACGGAAGGCGTGAAGAGGTCGTGAAGTCGAGTCGAAGTCACTGATTCCTTCGAAAACTAATAATCTTGAATGTTTCTGGCTGTGTTATTCTGGCAGGCTGAAATGAATTTCTCAACGGTTAACCTGACATTGACTTGACCTGTGAAGCTGTGACCTACTTAGGTAAATAATCGTACGCTACAAAGGTCTGTCTTGTTAAGAGTTTTCAATTGCTGTTTTCCCCATGTTTCTACGACCATCCGTTCGAAAGTTAGACGGAGAGCAGTCTTCCCCCCCATTCCCTGCCCAACGGAGCACATATTGCTAGTAGCCCAGCGGGGTTTGGGTTAACCCTCGCACTGGGGGGTCGAACGACTTGGTCTTGACAGACGAGACAAACGCCGTGAATGTCGAGATTTGATCTCAACAGTCACTCAGAAATGTTCTAGGCTGCACGATAATGACAAAACCACCAAACATCTGTGCATAACAAAAAAGTAAATTAATGGCAGGTTTCTACTGAATGTGCCTTGTATGTAGAAAATTGAAAGGTTTATCTGTAAGGGTCATATGAACAAACATGTAACAGATACGTGCCCAAACTCAAGCAGCCACCGAAAAGCTACATTGCCTCAGTGTTAAACCATCTTTGGCAGTCATTTCAGCATGTAACGCCCCTCACCCTAACGTTCCAGGCGGGTAAGATAACCGCGCTGCGATGGAGGTGGAAGTGGAGGAGGACCCCGTGTCGACTGTGGACACCGTGGCGATCGCCGAGGAGGAGATCTCCACGGCGATGGACTCGGAGGAGGACGGAGGGGAGGACGGAGGGGAGGACGGGGAGGATGGAGAGCTACAGGAGGGCACCCAGGTCATACACCTGGACACGGTGACGCTGGAGACGTCCGCCGGCCCCAGCACACCCAGGAAGCAGAAACAGTACCAGCAGCGCTACAGACACGAGTGGGAGCGGCTCGACTTCTGCAGGGGCTGGCTCACGGTGAGGGCACACAACGCCGACTGGCGGACTGACAGTTCGCCGCTCAGGCTGCTTACATACTCCGGTTCAGCTAATATTCGTTTTCTATTGTAAAAGTGACAAGTTATGCTATGTGAGCTTGTCTTTTTGTAATCGATTTCAGTTATTCTTTAATGAAGGTTTGCCAGCTTACTACCCATCATTCTGTGGCCATGCGTCTCTGTGTCGCCACTCGATCATACATGTCTCTTTCACAGAGACATCCAGTCAACAAGCTTCTGGGGTACTGCAAGGCCTGTGACAGATCTCTACATGCCCGGAGAAATGACTTAAGAAAGCATGCTGCATCATCAAAGCACAGGACGAACATGTCCTTACTCAAGGTGAATTGGTTGCTGTGATGACGTAGTCTGATGATTAAGTGAATAATATAATTAATTCGTGATTTTCGTGATCCAACCATTTATGATGTAGGTACATTGTTTCATCTCGCATCGTCAGCATTTCCTTGTGTTCTTTAAAGCTAAAGATGCACAATGTTAAAATATTTTAATGATTTTATTCTATATTGTCATTGCATGCTTTTGTTTACTTTTTCCAGAATGACATTGCGCTGCTTGGCTTTGTTACTGGACTTAGTTTAGTATTAAAGCTTCAGCGTGTTTTATTCGACTGACAGTTGCTGTTTGCTTGTTTTTAGCAAGGCCTCCCGCGTCATCAAAGAGTCGGCAAACTGAACACCGTTCATCCGACCAAGCTTAACGACCCGGATCTGGAAGGTGAGTCTACTGGGAATCGGTTCAATCGGCATCTGATTGGAATGTGTAGGGGGAGCGGGGGTCGGTACTGTTCGCTGGTCGAATTAGGCTCTTTTTGGTAAGAAATCGGTCCTTCGCCAACTTCTTGCGTGGATCAATGTGAAGTTGGTGTGCAGCTGCTGTCATGGTGTCAGATCTGTAGCAGCTTTAGTACGAATGTTTATGTTATGTATTGGGGCAGTGGCCCATTGTTCGTGCCCGGGGTGGTCACTTTCTGGTAAAGCTAGTCGTTGATAATCTAAAAAACGTCGATCAGATGACCAGCTTACTCAGCATTCGGTGGCCGTACGGTACGCAAACGCAGCCTGCTCGGATGAGCTGATGACGAGTTGGCGGCGGGTCCAGGCGCCCCGACTGCGCTGGGATCTGCGGCGCCTGCTGGGCCGTCAGTGGGCGCAGCGTCTCCGTCTCACTGTGCCGCGTCTCCCGCCCCCAGGCTGGTGCGTGGCCATGCCTGGCCAGCAGCACCGGGTCTGGTGCCGCCAATGCCAGTGCAGCCTGATCGCCCAGCGAAAGGCGCTCAAGACGCACAGCAAGAGCCGCAAGCACCAGCTGAACGCGGAACGGGCGCCGCAGTCGCCGCCGCCGGCCGGCAGCACCATCGTCGGCGACTCGTCGTTCAACGTCGTCGACACGAGCCTCAATGAGTCGGCCGATTGCGATTCGGAGCGCGCCGCGTCGCCGCTCATCGAGAGCGATTTTTCGGTGAGGTTTGAGAATATCTCGGGAGTGTCAGGGACAGTCAGAGTGACTTTGGGGACTCTGTGACTTTGACTTTGCGACTTTGACTTTGAGTGACTTTGAGATTTGGAGACTCTGGACCCTGCAGTCGATAGTTAAGGGGTTAGCTGTGTTGTGTGTTCTGTCAGTTTGGTATCACGGGCTGACGTCTCCGTCCTTCCCGACAGGGCCGCGTTACTTACTCCATCGGACTGGGAAACCGCAAGGTGGGATTCCTGGGCGCGGGACAGATCGCCCAGGCCATCGCCCAGGGCATGCTGGAGCAAGGTGAGCGTAACGGGCGATACGCAACGGGCGATACGCGCCGGGCGATCAGTGACGTGTATAAATTGACGCCTTGACTCGGCATAAGCTATCTGTAAGGGGTTGGGCAGTGTTCTGATTGGTAGTGTCAGTTAGCGGTCGTGGTGGGTATTGGGTGTTTGTGTTGCACCCAATATCCATATTGGGTGGGCGTTCAAGGTAGGTAAGTGTGACTAAGGAGGCGACGGTTCGTGTTCTAAGTTCTTGTGGAAATGTGTACTCATGAAGTTTTTGTACTCTGGTCACTTTCTTCGCCATTTACCCAATGTGCCATGTATTAATTAGCCGTGACCATTGGCTTGACGGCGCTGTCCCGCCTGTCGTTCGTCAGGCCTGCTGGTCCCCCGCGACATGATGGTGGGCGCTCCGAGTAACAGGAACATGACGCCGTGGAAGCGCTGGAAGTGTCGCACCACCAACGACAACGGTGAGTGGGTGGAAGGGTCGCTCTGAGGCGGCAGGACGGTCCTCACTGGGGATTATGGGCTATGACGGGCGCTGGACATGTCCTACCTGTGGAACGTGCCACTCTGCTGAGCTCGTTGCTTAGTTTGCCTTACCTTGCCGGCTGACAGCTGCCCTGAGTTTTTTTTGGCTGCCCACGTACTTTGAGCTATTCCGGCACCTCGTTGCATTTTCACTATTTTACTCTTTTATTGTTACCCGTTGAACGTCCCTTCTTTTACCCAGCATAGCACGATGGAAAGCATAAACATTGAACATGCCAGTCATCCTTTTGGACATGTGATTGTGCGTTTTCATTTAAGTTTCCTGGGCGACTGCCGCTTCGACCGTTGCACTTCGGCCGTGCTATACCCGTGCAGCTCCTTCCCCAGCTGCTCTCATGCGTCATGTGTCCTGTGCCACGGCCAACGACATACACACGTCATGTGTCGTTACGTCACTGTTTCCCTTGCTCCCACGTCACTTCTTCCCCTGCGACAGACGACGTGGTACGCGAGGCGGACATCATCTTCATCGCGGTGAAGGCGTCCGTTCTGGTCCGTCTGATCGGCCGACTGTCGCCCATCTCAGACGGCAAGACGCGCCTCTTTATATCGCTGGTACCGGGAGTCACCCGCGAACGGATGACGGCGGTGAGTAGCACACTGACAGTGACACTTTGACACACAGTGACACAGTCGGTGACATCACTGACATACCAGTGAGAGTGACATACTTTGATACGCGATGTTTGCTGATCGCTGAGTCAGTAGTGTGCGCTTGTGTTCCGTTTATCAATCCGATAACAGTAGGCGGAACTATGGTCAAGCGTACCCATTTTCGGGAACGCATTTTCGTTCCCATGTTTGGGGACGATAAACCCAAATATGGGAACGCCATGTAGGCATTATTTAAAACAAGAAAAAGAACCGTTAAATGACGTCCAAAAAATATAAAACGATCGTGAACCGCCTGATATTTGTCTCAATATTTTTGGGAAAGAGTTTGATATTGGAAGGCCCATCGTAGTTTCAAATCGTTCCCCTATTTCTAAAGCAGTCCAGCATCCGGGCCGCGAGCCCAAATTTGGGAACGCTCTCGTACACTGGCGCTGCAAGCGTTCCTTATTATGGGAACGGCGTACCCAAAATTGGGAACGATTTCACCGACGCCTTTCAGGGGCTCTTTTCATTAACAAGCATCACGTCCAACGCCGCAAATTATTGTTAAAGGGACCCTCCCACCTTAACATTAGATTTGAGTTGAGATAGCCAAAATGGGGTCCCTGGCTCACAATTACCGGTTTCGGCACTCACAACATCGAGAAATGCCTTAAATCGGAAATATTGAATTTCAAAATTGCAGCATTTTGATTCAGAGGGGCTAATGCATAGGAATACCCCTCTGAATGTGTGACGTCAGCGCAGATATCTAACGATTTTTAAATGTTTGACTAAAACGTTTTGTAGCACGCGGTGGTATATGCTGCTTTGCGCGCAACAAATGCCGCACTTTCAAATAAAGTCGCTGGGAACAGCGGAGATCCCAAAAAGTAAACAAAAGTAAAAGTCTAATATCTTGAAAACCGGTGAATATTTTTCGATGAAATTTGGTAGATATTTGTTTTTGCTCTTTCTGAACCGAGCGACATCACTTTCATGCCAATTCATTAACATTTTTGAAGGTGGGAGGGTCCCTTTAACGCAACAATCATCAGATGACCTTTCCGGCAAGACCGTCGCATGTTTCGCCCGGTCTTCTGCGCTTTTATTCCCGTCGATCTCGCAGCGGGCACGCCCCCTCTGCAGGATTACGTAATTCACAACGCTCAGCGATGTTCAACAAGGTCTTCCATACCTATATCCACCGTCCGCGCCGAGGGTGGAGACATGTCAAGCACCTGTCTGTTTATCACCGATAGTTGACGAGCACAAGGAAGTATCCAAAAATGGGAACGCTGAATATGTTACACCCTCAAAACACCTAGTCCCAATGAAAATCTAGTTTTTTCCTTTCTTGATGAGTGTAAGTGGCCAAAGGCCTGGTAGGATGGGCACGAGGAATGATCGAAATCAGCATAAAAATTATAAATAAGCCACACAGAGCGACCTATATAAGAGAGATTCCCCCAAAACGATCACGCTTAGAAACACGGAAGACAAAAACCACGCTCATGACGCTCCTTATAAAACAACTCTAAACAGCTAGCATCCAAATAAAATATGTCTTTCCGGGATGATAAAATACAGCTGAATAATTTTAAACCACTGAAACTGAGTTTACAACAGTAGTTCGGTAAAATCACTGACGTTCCATGCGGTCGTGCGCCCCGACACCAAATGTCAACAATATTACCCCGGGACTGTCCGCGTGTTCGCTTGCATATGTCAGCATCTGGTGTCGCTAGTATGAAACTTCATAACCAGGCGAAATTATTATACTTGACCTCAAAATGTAAAAAACGCTTCATTTTCCTTAAAATTGCAAGTTAAATGTAGTATAACCCATGTTTTCACCATTCCATCATTTCAAAAAATCATTAAAAATATCATTCGACGGTCAATTTCCTTGTTCAACGGTCAGATTAAAGATAATTTTATAGAGACTTAGTAGATACTTAAATTAGCGTGCACTTTTTTGAGACGTGATGCACTAATGAGTTTTAGTGGGCGAACGGCCGAAAAATTACCTTCCGTTCTCATAAATGGGAACGCCCGTTCCCATATTTGGGAACTCCGTTCCCAAAAATGGGAACGTTCCTATATTTGGGTACTCATGACCATAGTTCCACCTACTGATAATACAAATAACAGAATGGAAACACTGTGTCAGGTAACTTCGGCGGTGTTGCGGGCTCAGTCAGCCCGCACTTCCAAGCTTTATGCATTTTTGCTGTCTTAATCGGTCATGTTTGGCCGAGCTGTCACCTCGCCTGACCCAGGTGACCCTCCCCTCTCCCTCACTGCTGCTCTCTTTCTTGTCCTACGGGACAGACACCCCACCTAACCCTCCTCTCTGCCTCATTTTAGCTGCTGTCAACACCCCCAAACCCACCCTTCTCCCTCTCACGGCTTCTCCCGTGCCGCGTGCTGCCGAACGGACACCTCGCCTGACCGTCCCTCTGCCCCACAGCTGCTCTCGTGCCGCGTGCTGCCACTAGAGACGGTGACCGGCGACCCGCCGGCTGACATCGAGGTGACCGGTCCGCCGCTACACGTCATCCGTTGTGCCGCCAACAAGATGATGTCTATCAGCGCTGGGTTCTGCGGTGGGTGCTGGGACGGGTAACACGTCTCCTCCTCTGACGGGACAGGTCCTTTTCCTATGTTCCGTTGGCCTTCCCATAATATATTCGGCGGCTCCACATTCACCTACTGATGGGGTCTCTCAGTGGCCACGGCCGGGAAGACCTCAGACGTCCAAAGCAGGCAGCTGGATGGATACGCGTGGGCTGGGAAACTGATGCGATGTTTTTTTTTTACGTTGAAATGTCATTACGAGATATTTGGGTAAACAAGGAATATTGCTTTTGGGTCTATTTTGCCATATGGAATCCATTCCCAATCGGTACAGTAACTGCTTGCGCTCTTCTTGACTGCCTGGTGGGCCCACAAAAGGTTGGATTTTTAGCGGGTCTATCGACCTCTCTGGCCAATCTGGACTATAATGGGATGAGCATACCACCCTCCCCTGCCCAGGCTGCCCCGCTTACCTGTCAGCTGCTGAGATGTCAGGCTATTGCACCGTTGTTTGTGAAAGAATGAGCCGCACAAAGTGACCTGATCTGACCTGGCCTGTCACATCCTGCAGTAAGGGCGATGCCGTGTCCCACTCGCCCTGACCTGACCTCAGTTATAGCCTACAGTATGGGTGAGGGCGTGCCTCATGCACTTCATACATATCCTGATCTACCCTGACCTGACCTGTCGCAGCCTGCAGTGTATGGGCGAGGCTTGTGACCTGACCTGACCTGTTACAGTCTGATGACTTGACCCGACCTGCCCTCCCGCAGCTTACAGTATATTGGGTGAGGTCGACGCGTCTTACTCGCCCTGACTTGACCTGACCTGACACAGCCTGCAGTATATTTGGTGAGGACGTGCCCCACTCGCCCTGACCTGGCCTGACCTGCCCTCTCACAGCGTACAGTATGGGCGATGACGTGCCGCACTCGCTGTACCTGGTGGTGGAGACCATGTTCTCGGCACTGGGCACCTGTGTTCAGGTGGAGGAGCACCTGATGGACGCCTACAGTACGATGATCGCCAGCGGGGCGGCCTTTGTGAGTAGTCCGCTGGTGGAATGCCTCGGGCTCAGTTGGAGGCTGGAATGCAGGATTGAACAGTATCCAGAAAATAAAATAAATTTTAAGTTTTGAATAGAGAATCAAGCATTGAGTTGGCTGTGGTAAAGCTCCCACTAGCTGAATTTTTATCTGTAGTTGTAGTTTTGTCGTTTGGAGTTTGTAAGCAATCGGGACGTGTAGGATGGTTTTAAGCATCATCACTGGTTTAATGTATCGCCATTGGGGGAGTTATCACCTGTGTTTATAATACTGGAACCAGTGATAGTTGTGTGTAACTCGTGTGTCCTCCCACCTAACATATCCCGTGTCTCCGTTACAGACGTGCGCGTTTATCGAGGCGATGGTGCAGGGCGGAGTCAGTCTGGACCTGGGCTGGGACGAGGCGCTCAAGGTGGCCTCGGCCGTGGTGAGTAAACTTCAGCAGTTCCAGGCAACTCCGTGGATGAGTTGCGCCTACCGGGGGCTCTCGATGGCATAATATGTTTTAATGATACTGGGTAAAGCTCGGTTTAAAGTTCAGAGGCAGCCTATGATTACATTGGTAGGTCATCGTACCAAAGATGATGCCGTGTTCATGTTTCTTTTGTAAATACACCGGCGTGAGGAAGTAGGTATTATACGATGGATCTTTGTATACCGATGACCGGTGTCTTACCGCCTCTCCCCTCGCTCTGACCAGGTGTCGGGCACCTCCAAGCTGCTGCTGCGCACCTCCGTCGACCCGTCCGCTCTGCGCAAGTCCATCTCGACACCAGGCGGCAGCACCATCACCGGACTGGCCGCCCTCCAGCGCGGCGGGCTCGAGTGAGTCCTGGGACTGAGCTGGGAGGGGTGGTGATTTAAGGGAGCTAAGCTGAGTTGAGAGGTAGGGGGTGGTGCGTTTAGACGCAGGAGAATGAAAGGGTCCCACTCGCCATTTTGCTAAGTCCGTAGCTTGGCAGCAAATTGTGTGCCGTTTTACGTCTTTCTTTGTATAGTTTCTAGGCGATTGTGCAAGCGTATCTACCACCTACATTCTGTGGCCAGCCGCTCTGAGTTTGCCGAACCGAACCCCAGCCGCCCCCACCTCTGACCACCTTTACCTGTCCTTCCCCAGCGACGCCGTGGGCAAGGCGCTGCAGCTGGCCTGTGAGAAGACGCGCGACGTGGGGAACGCCGTCTGTGGCGGCGGAGGAGGAGATACCAGCACGACCAGCATCTAGCTGCCGACGGTGAGCGCGCGGTACGGCAGCGCCGTGAGTGACAGAGTGAGAACAGTGACGCTGAGTCGGGACACAGCTCTCTGATCGCCGCGAGACAGAGAGAACAGTGACTCTTGAACACAGTTCTCGCCCCGAACCACCGTGAGACAGAGAGAATGGTGACTCTGGACACAGTGATTCCCGGACCACCGTGAGACAGAGAGAATGGTGACTCTGGACACAGTGATTCCCGGACCACCGTGAGACAGAGAGAACGGTGACTCTGGAGTCCAGAGTACTCCCGGACTGAGTCGGGAAAGAGCGGAGTCAAAAGCTCAGAACGCGGCTGAGCTTTCGGACTGAACGGGGACCTGCCGATCACAGTACTAATTGTACATAGTACATACATGCATTATAGTATAAGTTATCATACGCACATCATTCTCTTCACCATGTCTACCTAAAAGCGGAGGAGTTTTGATGTCTGAAACAAAGCGTGCTTATTGTTAGAATTCCTGCAAAGGTGGAACCTACGGAGTGAACATGCCTTACATGATTTAGGCTAGTCGTCTTGTCGCTTTGCATTTCTGCTCGAGTTGCAATTAGTTGATTTTTGAAGGCATGTGTGCGATGTGCTTTGTTTCACGAATCACTCACTCATCTGTGCGTCCATTCCCGTGCCGGTTTTGTTATCGGCGAGTTCATCTTGTATATAGTCATGTCAATACATTCGAGGGACGCACCACGTCTATTTGTATCGGGCGACTATGATTTGGGCCGGGTAGGCCATCTGATGTAGTATGATCTTACCGTTTCTGACCTCACGTAAGATTACTTTACAACTAACTTCACGGGCCGTGAGAGATGGACTTACTCTGGGACAATGTCTGACGCCTGACAATAGCTGCCGGTCGTGCCGGCGGTGAGACCGCAGGGGCGGACCGACGGTGGGCATGTGGGTAGGGCGCGCATTTCTGGGTGGTACGGGGCCGCATAAATGCACCTCTTCGCCACCCTATCAGAGGCAGTGTGGCAATGCCTGCCGTTGCTGCACTAAGATGCAGCTGAGGTTTGTTTTACGAATCACTCTTCTGTGCGTCCATTCCGTGCAGCTAGGGACACACATTAGTAGATGTGGGACATAATCGGAAAATGGTACAGAGCTGAACACCGTCATAAGCAAAGCCGTAAAAGAGTTCAAAGGTTACTAACTGGCAGTAATAAAGAGGATCCAAGAACCGTGGGGAGTCCGCGGGTAATGAGCATTGCCGTGCTCCGGTGATTTCCCGCACCAGGCCCTTCTGAGTCCGTGGCAGCGACTAGTGTGCCGACATGAGAAATAAGCACCGTGTGTGCAACCCCTCGCGGTTTCACTCATTCGTCGCAAGTGGAGATGGCAAAAGATGAAAATTTTGGGAACCAGACTCGAACCAGACCCGGCTGGACATTTCTGGAACCAGTCGGACCCGGTATTAGTTGGAATCGGAACCAGTTGGACCCGTTCCCTAAAAGTCAATTAATACAAACTACTTGTAGGTAGCATTAGTTGCATCATGTAAAACAGCCTATTTATTTCCCACTGGGAATACCCATGAGCTACTGTGTGCAAAGACACATTCACTTCATATTTTGCAATAATGTGTAGTGTGCAGATGTATAGTTTATGGTAGGACCCGGTTGGACCCGTCAGAAAATTTTCAGGAACCGGTCTGGACCCATATGGGTCCAGACTGGTTCTTTGAACCGAGTCCTCGGGTCCACATTTTGCCACTTCTAGTCGCAAGCATTCCGGCTCATGACTCGTCAGAGGCCGGTCGGTGCGAATACAATTTGGAGAAAGTGGCTCGCCACTTTCCCCAAATTGTAACAGACTTTGTTTGTTTGTTTGTTTTGTTGGGTTAGGCCCTTTCGGTCGACAAGACCATTGCAGAGCCGGAAGGATGATAGGAATTAGGGGGAGACATTGGTCTGGGCAGGCACCCTAGTGAGTCGCCGGGGCTGAGCCCGTCCAGAGGACAGGCCACCCAGCCCCAAGGCACTCACTGCACCCGGCTACGGGGTGCGCTCCCTCAGGAGCAGCGGTGCCGCTCCAAGGGAGCAGCCCGCATGAGATAAAGTTGCCTGCCCAGCCCGGAAGGGGGTTGTGGCGTGGAGGAGAAGGATTTCAGTATCCTGAGGATAGAAGCACGGACAGGTCTGTAACAGACTTCGACATCGGAATGCAACTGTTTGGTAAGATGATGTCCTACTGAGCAGCTACCGGCCTAGAATAAGTAAACAGAGTTGGGGCCGGCCCGTGACGGCGCGGGGTTTCCGCGCTCGCCGCTAGTCTGTATAAACTCTGCTCTGTGGCGGCCGCCTGCAGTGCTGGACCATACCCCACAGCTGCGCGGTGTCCCCAGTCCCGGGATGTCGCCACACAGTGCTGTCGCCCTGCTGCTACTGGGCCTGCTCCTGGGTCTGGGCGCCGCCGTGCCGCTCCAGGACAGTGCTGATATCCCACCGGACGGGTCTCAGCCAGTGGTGGCCGCCAGAGGGGGGTTCTACCTGCCGCCAGCGGGTACCGCCGCCCCTACTGCGGCCTCCACCGACCCGCTGCTGCACCGACTGCAGCCGCTCCTGGAACGGGCTCTGGCGCGCGCCGTGGAGAGTCTGCTGGCGGCCGGCCGGCGCACCGAGGGCGACCAGCTGGCCGCGCTCCGGGCGCGCCTGGAGAGCCTGGAGCGTGAGATGGCCGAGCTGAGACGCGACGCGCCGCCGCCAACGCAGCCCGGCGCGGTCCAGTGTTCACAGACGGAGCCGGAGGCGGCCGAGACCACCCCGGCGCCGCGGCAGGAGCCGGCTCCCACTCCGGAGCCGGAGCCGGAGCCGTGTCTGTCGGAGCCGGACCCGCTGGCCGCCGAGCTGGCGCCGTTCGAGCGGCCCGAGAAGCTCTCCTGCGCCCGCTCCTGTCTGCAGCTGCGCGACCAGATGCACAACCCTCAGGACGGCGTCTACTGGTTCACCGGGATGACGGTGCCGGTGCTGTGCGACTTCAGCCACGACGGCGGCGGCTGGACGCTGCTGCTGACGGCCAAGTCTCGCGAGGGCTGGAACCTGCTCAGCGTGCTCGGGCGGCGGGAGCGCTCTCCGTCTCTGGACGACAACTACTCGATCCTCGAGCACGCCGACTACATCAGAGACCTGGGCACCGGCATCCGGTTCGCCTACCGGATCGAGACGCAGGCGGAAAAGAGCCGCCAGCGCTGGGGCGGCGTCTGGTTCGCTCCCCAAAACTACAGCTTCGTCCACGAGAATCCCGACCAGACTGAAGTGTTCAACGTCAAACGCTTTGACAAATGGACATACAAGGCGAACGGCATCAAGCGCCGCATGCCGTGGCTCAACATGCACGTAAGGGGCAGCGGAAACGAGCCGGCTGTCCTGACCACCGGCGACGCTACCAACAACGTCTGGGGAACGCTGCTCAATGACGAGGGCAAGACCACCTACCAGCACAGTCCGTGGATCCACCCGGAGGCCCAGCAGTCGGGAACGGTGCTCTACTGGATGCGAGAGAACTCCCGTTGAGCCAGCGGCAGCGGGCGCCGCCCATCGAGGACAGAGTGGTGGATGTTTGAGGCTGTTATAGGTCTCGGATGCTTATGTACATAGCGATGATGATGATGATGAATTGGGGTTTTTGGGCGCCCGGACTACAATGGTCATCGGCGCTATGTCCATGGCGATGGTGGTGGGTCGTCAGTCGTTACTCATTTTTTTTTATTCCGTGCATGCTAGTCCAGCTAGTCTGAGATGCCCATCGATAAGCTATGTTTTACGAGAATGTTATTGTGCGAGTCGCCACTCTATACCGGTGTGGCCTAGGGTAGGCACTTGCATTGATATTACGAACCTGTTCTAAAGGCTCCGGTTCTGTTCATGCAAGCAGTTGGTACATAGAAGTGGCCTACAACGTTTGAGGGCGTGGCTCCACCCGGAATGTTACGCCCCCTCCCCTTTCCATGTAACGGACGTTGGCGGCGCTACTGGCCTGCTTCGTGATTATCACCAGTTCCAGTCATATTGTCTCAATGTCTCGCGGCAGTCATTTATGTGATACGGTAATACACATTCATGTCATTGATGGATCTCTGGAATTTGGCAGAATGTGTAAGCGTTTGGTTGCAAATATGATGGTCCAGTGCGCCCCAACTCGATCACCAGACGAGCGGCTGAAGTCGACGGAACGCGACGCATTATTCCAGATATCGCGCCAACAGACGCCGTGACCGGCTATTCCGTTGCTGGAATCGTTGAGCCATGGCAGGTCTAGCGAGGACTCAGTGGTCAAATAACATACTACTACCAAATCGGACATTCCCGATAAATATTATGAAATGCCACGCGCAGACTGTCATGTGTTCAGCTATAGACAGTTCTGGGATTTCCGTCAAATATATTGCAAATCAGCTCGCCAGTTGCTGTGTTATAGTGAGCAACGACTTCAAGCACACACAACTCGCACAGGCTTAATATAAATAGAAATTAGATAGTGGTCATTACCAAACGTACTCACCAAGTTCATAAACTTCACAAAGTTCAGCCAAGCAGGATACAATTGGAATGAAGGACATGCTCAACAATAACAAATGCCCGACACCCGATCAGGGCAGTATGCCAGCCAGTGTAGGACTGCTTGGTTCCGCCCCGTTTCCTTCCCTCTGAATTTTCCCCATACGCCATCCACAGCGGTGAAATAACAATTCATGGTGTTAAGCGCCGTGGGCTCTCAGGCGGCGATGCCAGTCGATCACAGGCGGGCTCTCAGGCGGCCGTGCCCGCCGACCAGAGACGGCTAGTGCGGCGGTACCTACCGATCACTGGCGGCCAGCGCGGCCGTACCCCGCTGCAGCAGCTCCAACATCACCGGATACACGTCCGCGAAGCTGGTGCCGCCCTGCGCGCGCACCGCCTGTACGTGAGCGTCCAGCGCTCCCGTCAGCAGCTGGAGCCGCTCTCTCTCGGCGCGGTGCTCGTCGAGCCAGGCCGAGTAGCGACTCACCGACCAGCTGGCCGTGTGGTGCGGGGAGCGGAGCTCGGGCGGGCCGCGCGCGAACAGCAGGTGCACCACCAGACTGTAGGGCAGCACCTCGCCCAGCGCCGGCGACTGCGCCATGTGCTCCGGCGTCTGCGGAGAGTCGACCGGACGGACCGTCATTCGGGGGAGATAGACATGGCTGGCAGGGAGGTACAGTAGCCCAGGCTCCAATATCGCACGCATGACTAAACCGGAGGCCATGGATTAATTAGTTATTCGGTCCAACACACAAAACCATGTCGGTAGGACAATCAGCTGAAGACACCGAAACGCTGACGGACAAATTTCACCCTTCCCAACTAAAATGTAGGCCGAAATCGAACAGACAAGTGCCATTTTTACTGACAGTGGAACTAATTGCAAGCAATGTTGCCGCACAAAGGCAAACACGATTACGTAAGGGTGACCTGGCCTGACGCAATCGTTTTTGTCTTTGCACGGCAGAATGTTGCTGCCAGCGTTACAACCCTACCCCGACTGACCTGGAAGAGGAGCGGTTTGAAGGCGCGCAGCACGCGGTACTCTGTCCCCAGACTGGCCAGCCGTTCACAGAGCGGCGCCACGGCCAGCTCGAGCTGTGCGCAATCGGCAGCCAGCCGGAGTCGACCGGCGGCACCCACCGGCCGCACCAGAGCCGCGTGACGGACAAACAGCTCGACGGCGCGCCGGCCCAGCTCCAGCTTACTGCAGCGGGAACGGGCGGGAGGGTTGGTTACAGGGGCACGGCCGGTCAGACACAACAATACGGACTGACGATGCTGTATGCTCCGATCGACCCAGATAGATGCGGCGGCACCGGGGAGGACCAGTCAGAGAAGGTATGGTCTATGAAAACTCCGTTTATAGACAAATACTGGGAGCTCCGAGGTATGCACCAACTTGCACTCTACGCGGAGACGTGGGGGCATCTCAGATGAAAACGAGGATCATGGAGGGCCACCTGCAATACATAAGAAGCACAATGCAAGGGACAAATGAACTCTTAAAAGAAGTCATCCGGATCCAGCTGGAAGAAAAAAAAAAGACAAAATGGGCAAAGACTACAGCTGAATACCTGGCAATGGTGCAACTCCAAATTCCCGAGCTAAGAAACATGAAGAAATGTGCAGTAAAGAACAAGCTTAGAGTTTGGGACAGTCAGCAGTGGCTCTCTGAAATGAACGATAAAACGAGTATATCAATGTAAAAACGCCGAAAGAAAGAAATTAAGGAAGAAACAATATACGACAATACACCAGCATCCAGCATACTATTCAGGGCTCGCACGAATACGTTACCACTGCATGATAGAAAAAGGCACAGTCAGGAAAGTACCGCTTGTGAGCTGTGCGGGGCGGAAACAGAAAATATCCAACACTTCGTGCTCTTCTGTCCCGCACTGAAAGATGCTAGGAACTCCATCACGGCACTCCAACAACCATATATCGAGAACTATGATAAAGTACTAGAAGACTTCCTTTTTGAAAATGACTGCCACCAGTCAATGGAGGAAAAGAAGAACAACTTATATCAATTATGGAGATGTAGAAATAACAAATGAACGCCAAAGAGGAATATCACAAGAATCGATAAAATATCAGACGAAGATAATACGGGTGGGGTGGCGTTGAAAAGCCGACACCCCGAGAAAAAAATCTGATCTGATCTGATGGTCGGCCAGACATGGACACGGGGTACAGGCACAGACCGATAGACGATGCATGCCCCGACCGAACTGGCTCCCCAAAACTACCTTCGGCGGTACCGGGGGGGAGGGGGGGGGACAGAGGGGTACGGACGGTCGGTCAGACACACACATATGACGGACGGAGACACGTAAACAGAAACTTGAAACTTGAAACTTATTTATTCACGAGTCCACTGCAATCAGTGGCTTTTCGTCATTGCACGTCACAGAAGAAAACAAACATCGTTGATGGGGGGCACTCGTTCACAGTCTCACAGCTCACTGCAAATCAGACACGACACACCACTCATGCCCGAATAACGTCTGCGAACGATACGAGTACATACATAGGCGTCAATCGCGGCGGCTAAACAGATGCCGCTTGGTAGCGGTTTTAAAAAACATTCCGGGTGGTCTCGGTATGTACGTCGTTGTACGCCTTCACAGCACTGTAGCACAAACGACTGCGCCCTGCCTCGGTGCGGATGCGCGGCACAGAGAGGAGACCCGCAGTCCGTGTATTGTGATCGTGCTGATGGTGAGCGGGAGGGCAGATAGTCTGAGCTATGGGTGACGGCACATGGTAGTCTAACAGTCGGTGAATGACTAGAACTCGGTGGTAAGTTATGAGCTCTTCAGCAGTAAACCAGCCCAGCGCTCGTACTGCATCTGAAATGTGATCAGTTTTCCGGCGTCCGGTCACAACACGTGCGGCAAAGTTGACTGATTTTTGGATACGACGCACCTGGGTTTTGTTGCAAATTCCATAGATAGACATGCAGTACGGCATTGTGGGAAAGACTAGAGCTTGCACAAGGTACTTCACAGTCGCGATGGGAATAACATGTTTGGCATGGTTCAGCGCGAGCAGCATTGCAGTACATTTTGGAATCAAGTGATCGACATGTGGCTGAAAATCTAAGTTGCGGTCGAAAATCACACCAAGATTGCGAACCTGGCTTGTGGAACTGATCGTTGCATGGTTAAATTTAACACTTACATTGCCAACATTCCTTAGCATTTGTTTCGTGCCCATCACCAAGAACTCTGTTTTTGCCTTATTTACTCTCATACCATGATCGCAAAACCAATCAAACATGCATTGTAAAGCAGTTTCAATTCGGTTCACAAGCTCCGGTAAATCCTGCTTTGCACCGGTAGTCCAGATTTGGGTGTCATCGGCGAATTGAACCACTTTTACGAATTCTGGCACGTGAAGACATAGGTCGTTAGTAAAAATGCACCATAATATACAGCTCAGAGATCCCCCCTGGTAGACGCCTATAGAGTTCCGTCTCGAAGACGATCGCATCGAACATCCACTATGGTTGTTAATCTGCACCTGTTGCGTGTGACCTTGTGAATAATCCTCTATCCAAAAAGGATCAATATCATACAAACACAATTTTTCGATCAGTCTGTCGTGCGGCACCATATCAAAACATTTCGAAAGGTCAACCATTGCCCAGAGGGTAATTTCGCCACAGTCCATTGCTCGCAGTACATCATCAGTAACAACATGAAGGGCAGTTTCGCACGAGTGTTTTCGCCGGTATCCGTGCTGTGCCTCACTCAGCAGGTGGTGGGTCTCCATGTACTCCGTGAGCTGGAGTTGAACGGCCCTCTCGGTGATTTTGGTGACAGGCAAGGTCCCTGCACTTGGCGAAGAGTACTTATAGCTGGCCCTGCAGCAGTGACATCATCCCCGGGGCCTCACAGTTCCAACGGCGTGATGGCCCTCTGCCCTCTCTGCGATGAGCAGGCACTAATTCCCAGACAATATCTCACCTGGCAGTGATGAGCGGTTTGCAGTTAAATGGTGCCAAGTAGTCGTCCACTGCGCGTGATATGAACGTCTGAAGCTCCTTCATGTAGAGCGAACAGTTGGACTCGCCGCCACTCGACTCTTCCTCCCTGCGTAAAACCAGACAAGTAACCATCAGCATCTCAGCTGACCACGTCCTGCAGACACTAAACACATTTAACAGTATAGTCGACAACAGAATGATGTTCCACTCCTCAGAAGCTATCAGTTGACCGGAGCGCTAAGTTGTGCCGTTTATCACGCAATTAAGCATGTCGATTGTGAGCATTGGGACAAAGCTATAATTGGTGAACTCAGCCCGTGTGATGCGGCACAGCCTACCACTCCAGGCAAATAATTGCCTGTGAAAAGTGGAACATCATTCTGTAGTCGACTATACACATGCCGGCTGAAGTAAGCTATCCAGGCAGAATCAAAGTTCTGCCGTCTCTGCGATAAACATTAATCCGCTATAAACAGTATTCGTCCCATGCTAATCACAACTCTATTCCGACCCCCGTTCGTCCCCAACACCCTCTCCACCGATGTTGCCATACTCCCCCCCCCCCCCCCACAGACCACCAGCGCGGCCGCCGCTGACCCACCCGGAGAAGTCCTCGTTGTGCATGGTGAGGATGATGGCCTCGATGGCCTCTGCGATGGAGGTGACCAGCGGCTGGATCCCGCTCCTCATCAGACTCCCGACGCCCTCGAGCGAGGCCAGCACGGCGTCTCGCGCCTCGGCCGCCAGTGTCGGCTGGCCGGCCAGCAGCCGACGCAACTGCGCCTCGAACGTCTGCAGCACGTTCACCAGCTGCACGTTGGTCGTCTGACCGGGAGACATCGGACCTGGGAAGGAAGACCATTTAGTAAGGCTATTTTAAAATCATGCTCATTTTCTTCGTCCAGTGTTGAACACTGCTGCGCTATCCACAATGCAATTAGCCAGTTGCCCAGTTATACTGCTCGGCCCCCTGTTCATTGCACATTGCAGCAATGCCTGGCCGGTAGTTTACTCTGTAATTGCGGTGTACACTGTACAGTGTTACACTTTGTCGCACTGCCCACCCGTCCGGTCACTCACCGATGACCTGGCTGGCGTCTCCGTCCGTCACCAGCAGCTGTTCACACTTGACACAGAACAGCTGAACCGTCTTAGCCACATTCCGGGCCACCAGCAGGCAGAGAGATGGGTCAACCCCGGACACCGTCAGCTCGCTGTGAGGGACAGAGGCCAGGTCAGGTTAGGACAGGTCAGACACATTCCTGGCCGCTAACAGACATAGACGGGTTCACGCCCCACATCGTCAGCTCATTGTGTGTCACAGAGGTCAAGTCAGGTCAGGACAGCTCACCGCGGGGCGCGGAACAGAGTTCAGGTCAGGTCGGTTAGGGCACACCGACCAACTTACACATATTCCTGCATCGCTATAAACCAGAACACTCTTATTTCCCCCCCCCCAAAAAAAAAACGTTCATTTGTGTCCTGTAAGCACTGTCTATGTAGTCTCTGCGGCCTGCACTGGCGGCGGCGGGCCGACTTACTTGGCGACGGTGCGGACGACGGCGTCAATCTCCTCTCGCGCGGGTACCGTCTCGGCCGAGAACATCAGGTTGACCGGGTCAAACAGCCGACTCAGCGAGCGGGACAGGTAGGCGCGCTCAAACGGCGCCAGCGCCTCGCGCAGGCTGCTCTCCGGACTGTCGGGAGAACGGGGCGGTAAAGTTGGGGTTCGTGGAAAAGACATGAGTAATTCGGTATCTACTGACTGCCAACATATACTGGACAGTGCAATGTGCATGGTAGGATAAATTGAGAAGAAGCGGTAAACACGAACTTATCAGGAGCTAATCGTTAATATGTCAGCGGCATTATTATGCGGCAAAATAGCATATAACCAACAGCAGAAATGTCGTATTGGTTAATTAGGCTAATAAAAACTTACAGGAATGGTGTAAGAAAGCGCCATGCGCCATGTACATATGGTGCAAGATGGTAGAGCGAGGGAGGCAGACTCACTTGAACTGGGGCTGACCGTCGGCGGCCGGCGGCGTAGCGAACTGCTGCAGCCGGGTCCACAGGTCCTGGTGGAGCCGCACCAGCTTCGGGTACTCACCCTCAAACGCCTGCCGGATGAACGTCTGCCCTGCTCGATAGGGGAGGAGTGGAGCCCGGCGTCAGGAGCGGCGAGGGAGTGAGGGTCCCTACTATTCCTGACCATACTAGCTACCGTGTGTCTGCCCTGATCGTCCCATTCCTACCTTTAATCTAGCCCTTCACTCGTCTTAACCATCATCCTGCCGTCATGGAGTAGTTCTTCTCTCGTTAATTACCACCCATCCTACCGTTAAACACATTGATCTCTTTTCTGTACCACCTTCCCACTTTCCAAGCCCTGCCGTTGCTCCCGAGAACATTCCCAGCCCCGTCGTTACTAACGCCCATCCAGTCATCAAACATTTTTAACACACTTCAATCCCAATCATCTTTCCAGGTCAAATACAAACCACCTCCCAAGCCCTTCACTCATTCCTACTGGCCTGCTCTCCCAAGTCCTTTCGCCAGTCCTTCTCACTTTCAGCGGCTTTGACGAACTCTGTGCGGATCATGGCTGTGACGTCCTGCCAGAAGAGTGGCATCAGCTGCGCAGAGCGCACCTCGTCGATAAAACACACCTGGGTCACCGGATCGCGCTTCTTGCTCAGCACCTGAAACACGGGACGGGAGACGTAGAGGGTCGTGCTCACAGCAGATACAGCGAGCGGGGAAGACTCGACGCATCACTCGCGGCTGGTTCACGTTCAGGCACAGAGTCGGAGACGGACCGTTTATAATTGCAGTCATCCGCAATACACTTGCGGATTTTTCGGTCTTTCGCTATCTATCTTTCGTTAGTAAAGTAAAACAGCACTAATGTCCACCTGACGACGATCCGGTGCGGTCGGTCACCGGAACCAGCGGGGCTCCGGGCTCCTCGGTCCACGTCATCCTCACCTTGTGAATGTGCTGGATCTGGGCGCAGGCGCCGTAGATGTGATCGGCCAGCCGCTCCAGGTTGTTCCACAGGGCGGCGCGGAAGGTGACGGTGTTACTGGGCAGGGCGGCGGCGCCGGGCCGGCCGGCGGCCGTGCCTGGGCCCGATGACGCGGCCAGCACCGACTCCAGTCGCAGGGCGTCAGTGAGTCGCGTCTGCAGCCGGTCCCTGGTGTCGGTAAGCAGGCCGTCCACCGTCGGCTGCAGCGAGCCCAGGCTGTGGCACACCTGCAGAGCCGTCGCCACCTGCCGGCAGTGGAAGGAAACGGTGGAGTAGAAACACGGTTACAGCTGATGGCGACATCTACGAGGCGTTCCGACACTTGCTTCGTCTTTTCCTAATGATCTGCTCGGACAGCGTATCGTCGTAAGGAAATGTCATTGCTGTCTACCGATGAAGTGATTTTCTCTACCAGATAGAAAGCATGAGATCTGGCGGGCCGCCACCAACCTCAGCCACCAGACCAACTGGTTGGGACGAGGGAGATGTCGGCCATTCCATCTCTATAGTGTATACCAGCCTCTTCGGGGAGCCACACTAGCCTGGGACTGGTTGAGCGACTCCACGCCGCCTGCACCACTCGATATGGGATGGAGCGCAGAACTGACCTGGGACTGGTTGAGCGACTCCATGCCTCGCTGCAGTAGTCCAGCCGCCTGTTTCTCCACCGACTGGCGGCCGGCGCGGATCTGTCGCTGCTCCCGCTCGTACACCTCCAGGCCGGTCAGGTCGACGTCCGAGACCGTTTCGTCTGACGGGAGGGTACCATTCAGTCACCACTGGGGCGCAGATCCACACACAGGCCGGTGAGGTCTAGATCAGAGAAGGTCTCATCTGACGGAGGGTACGTCACAGTCAAATACAGGGATGCAGAATCCACGACAAACACAGGCCAGTGAGGTCGACGTCTGAGACGGTCTCGATTGGGGACTGCCGACTGGGGAGGATGCGTTTCAATCACAAAAGGGGTAAAGACCCACACAGAAGACTGGCGAGGTCTATATCAGAGACGTTCTCGTCTGTGGAGGGAAAGTCTCAGTCAAATACAGGGACGCAGTCCCCCACAGGTCTCAGTCCGCAGAGCGGATCCTGCCTCAGGCCCTCGCCCCACCCTCCCCCACCCCCGCCCCAATCCCGCCGCCTCTCTTACCGAGTTCGCTGAGCGTCTTGGCCGCCTTGGTGATATCCCTCAGCCCTCCGCGCAGCTGCGCCTGCAGCCGGCGGCTGAGCTGCTGCAGCCGGATCAGACGGCGCAGCATGTCGCAGGCGGCGTGCAGTCTGGAGAGCATCACACTCTGGGAGGCGATTTTCAGGTAAGGCTCCTCGACCCGCGACCGGAGCCGCTCCACGGCCGCCAGCAGCGCCTGCCGACAGAAACGGACCGAAGGGGGGCGGTTAGAGCACAAACTGAGCCGATACTGATATCGGATGTGATTATTACCACATGTATTATATACAGAGGCCGACACGACCCAACTCGTTCGCTTATGGCTCTTGGCGGTACCGACCTGTATTTTGGCCAGCATGGTCTGCAGAACATCATCGAGCGTTCCCGTTCCGCTGGCCTGTGACAGAAGGTCCTCGTAGTGTTCGTTCACCTGATCGGCGATCTCAGAGTCGAGCAGCGCGATACCTGCCAGAGAGAGGGGGAGGGAGGAGTGAGTGAGACACGCCTTAAGTAATATCACCATGTTAAGCAGTCTTACAATGCAAAGCTATCTGCAGATGTGCTGGCCCGTCTCCTGTTTCGAGTAGCGCCGGAAATGGTGTCAGCTAACGATCGCATTTGGTTATGTGGGACAGCGTTTTCTACTCAGCGCTCACTTGGAGTGATGTGAGCCAGTGTTTGCTGCTCTCCTGTGGCCATAATATTGTGTCTACCTGCTCACCTTTAGTGATGTGTGCCAGCTGCTCACCTGTTTAGTGATGTGCGCCAGCTGCTCACCTTTAGTGATATGTGCCAGCTGCTCACCTTTAGTGATGTGAGCCAGCTGCTCACCTGTTAAGTGATGTGTGCCAGCTGCTCACCTGTTTAGTGATGTGTGCCAGCTGCTCACCTTTAGTGATGTGCGCCAGCTGCTCGGAAAGCGCCGCCGACTGGAGCAGCGTGCTCGCCTCCCGGTTAACATCAAAGTCGGCGGACAGAAACCGGCTGTATGCTCCTGAAACATGTGCCATGGTCAGCAGTCAGCACGGTAGCTGAGTGGTGGTTTGTCATGGGCCTGTCCATGACCACTAACCAGCTCCGTTTGATTTCCTGCTGGCTCAGACTGCATCAATGCATCCATCCAAAACATAAAAGCCAAAATTTCCCGTAAAAATTTACAAAAAAAAAACTGAAAATGTAAGCCAACATGGCTGATACTATATTAAAGACCAAGTTCTCACTTCCACTTGACTGCTAAACAACTAAGCGTGTGGTAGTGTTGCTAAGACTCAAACTATATTCACTGACTGTACTCATTAGTAATTACTCAATGTTGGCTTCTATGCTATAGGTATAATGATCCTTTACAGTTGGCAGTGAGGTACAGGTACAGACACAGCAGATACAGGGAAGGATCAAACCACAGAAATATTTTATCCTACGGAGGATAAAAAAGAAAAGTGTTTGACCTGGCAGCTGGCACAAAGATGACACAAACTTGAAAGTCTTACCATCATCTTGAAGAGTCCTCAGAACAGCAGGTTCATCTTCCATGATGGAACCTGTGGAAAGTAATGTATTTTCAAGTAGCACACTGTCTCTGCAATCAGCATTCCAATCACCAGCATTTTGTATGGAGTATACACATTTATATTTTTGTATTGTGAAGGGTCTGTCCCCAGGACAGAGCATATATCATCACTCCGCCTATCTGGCCAGCAGCACTACTGTGTGGGTTCAGTCTGTTGGAATCTTGGATTCAGCACAGTGCCAGGAAACTTACAGGAAGATCACCCTAAATCAAGCACCCCATGGACATGCCATATAGACCAAGGTCTAACAAATAACAGGAACTCCTAATCTGGGGCTAGGCTAAGGCTAGACAAGGAGACAGGAGTTTCAAGCACAGAAAACCAGCAGAGAACACATGACTTGGTTTGAGAAGTTTGACTTTATTTCATAACAAACTACAAAGGTACTCTGTGTAACTGGCCACTGGGCAGGCAGGGCAGTAGGTACAAGTCTTTATTAGGAAGGAAGGCACCAGTGCTGGAAATGAGGCCGCTTTCTGGTCCCGGCGTTTTATTCTCCGGGTGGGTTACCCCCATCTAGTGCTCAGCCTTTGGGAACCCACTCAGGGTCGCGGTTGTTTTTGCCGCTCGCCCAAGTCAAAGATGCAAAGTTAATAGTCAAAGGAAGCTTATTTAGGGCCAGCCAAACCAGCCTAGTCTGGAGTTACTGTTAAATGTATGCATGTTGAATTTAGAGGTGGCAAAATGTGGACCCGAGGACCCGGTCCAAAGAACCAGTCTGGACCCATATGGGTCCAGACCGGTTCCGGGAAATTTTCTGACGGGTCCAACCGGGTCCTTCCATAAACTATACATCTTGCACACTACACATTATTGCAAAATATGAAGTGAAGGACGTGAATGTTTCTTTGCGCACAGTACCTCATGAGTATTTTCAGTGGGAAATAGGCTGTTTTACATGATGCAACTAATGATACTTACAAGTAGTTTGTATTAATTGACTTTTGGGGACCGGGTCCAACTGGTTCCGATTCCAACTAAGACCGGGTCCGACTGGTTCCAGAAATGTCCAGCCGGGTCTGGTTCGAGTCTGGTTCCCAAAATTTTCATCTTTTGCCACCTCTAATGTTGATGAAAGAAAAAGGTGTTGTAGAATCAATTAATTTCGGAATCGTATATTTAGATGCCCTAAATAAACTTTGTGTGACTGTCAACTTTGCATCTCGAATGGGCCGAGCGGTGAAAAACAGCCGCGACTGAGTGGGTCCCGAAAGGCTAAGCACTAAATGGGGGTAACCCACCCGGAGAATAAAACGCCGGGACCAGAAAGCGGCCTCATTTCCAGCACTGGAAGGCACCCTTTGCATTCTTATTAAAGTCAATGTAATGTAAGGTGAGCTGAATTAAAGTGAAAGTACCTAATATTTAGTTGACCAACAATTCACATGATTATGGTGTAGGTAACTTCACGGTGAATAACGTCCAATGGGCAAAAGTGGATTTCTCTCCCCTTGAAAGTGGCAAATACAAATATACGTAATCTTTGATTAGCTGATTAACATTCGGCTAATAATTATTTGCAGGATGGGTTGGTTGGTTGGTTGGTTTGGGTTAAGCACCAATCCAGTGGACCAACTTGAACTGCTAACCGAAACTCTCACGCTGTTCCAAGCGGTCAGGCAGCGGCATTTCCACGTGCATTGCCCGGTAGCAACCCGGTAGCAAGGAAGGTAGCAACCCGAAATACCTATAAGTAGCAACCTGCCTATTTTATTTACCGTTGCGTGCAAATTCGTGCAATTTAAGAATGCAAATAGTCCTTACTTGTACTTGTTGGGTTAGGGCGCATAGCCTCGTTGGGCTCAAGCGTCCGTAGTTGTTGTCATCAGTGCGCCATTCTTGTCTCGATCGAGTAGATGTTGCAATCGGCTGCAGCCAGATTGTGCAGAGGGAAACTAAGCAGATGAAGGAAAATGATAGGTTTAGCATGGGATGGCATGGGGATGTATGCGCGGGCTTCGGATATGTCCAGGCAGGAAATGTCCGGTGAAGTATATTAGTAACGGTTAGTTTCTAACATATAACTGATTAAAAACTTAAAAATAGAAACAAAAAGGATGGTTTCTGGTTATGAGTCATTCAATCATAACGCTCTTGACCTCGCATCTGTCCAGCGAGCCATTCAGTTCAAAAGGATCTTCAGGCACGAGTCTGCTCTTGGTACCTCACTCAGTTATCAACTTGCGTTGGAGGGTTCATGTCTCATGATCATACCGATCATAACAAGCCTCAACTTCGGAACTATGCGACTACTTCTACAAAAGAAGGGACCGGATGGTACAAAAAAGATTAACGAAGGTATACATCCAAGAGAAATCTAGAAAAAGAAACTACAGTAGCAAACCAGTACAGGCTGCTCTTCATTCATCCACTAACTGCATCCATCTCTCACACCGATGCATCTCCACTCCCGCATCCTTCTCATTCAACATTCAATCTCCATTCATCCAATCATTCCCACACAATGCACGACTGTTACACACATGAGGACGTCCACAGAGCAGTCGCAGCACATAACACAAAACACCAGAGAGACGATAAAGTAAACAATCAACACAAATTACAAAAGCAGGAGATCACATCAATGTGCCAGATCGACGGCCATGCCCTCCGCATCAGTCGCGACGGGGTTCGCCAATCGGCAGGTAGACTAACATAATCCAATAATTGCACATGATAGCTTCAAACACAAATAATCACAACTAGTTCATCGCAGATCATCGCAGTCACAGCTTTTTGAAGAGATTGGTAGCACGTAGGAACCTGAAAACCTCGTCAGTGATGTCCGGGTGTTGATCACCCAGAAGAGTTTTCAGGGTAAGTGGTACATCCAATTGAAGGCACTTCTGAACAATCGATTGTCGGTGAGTAGCATACACTGGGCACTCCACAAGTATATGTTTAACTGACTGGGGACACAAACATCGGTTACATTCAGGCCTGGGGTCTCTATCTATTATATGTCCGTGAGTGAATCGTGTATGTCCTATTCGCATGCGACATAACAAGATTTCCTCCCTGCGACTGGCGCGTTTACAAGATGACCATGATCCAACTTCATCCTTTATCAACTTCAAGTTGGTGTTTGAGTTATACTGCTGCCAGCACTGATTGAACAGGCGACGGACAGACAACCCAATATCGGGATAGTGCTCTTTGGGACCCATTTCAAGGACTACTATTTGATCCAGCGAGATAGCCTCCCTGGCCTGACGGTCAGCTAGCTCGTTCCCAGTGATGCTGCAGTGTCCAGGGATCCACAAAATAACAAGTTCGCGATCAGACAAAGTAATCAATCGATGACAGGTCTCTAAAATCTTCATGATAGTAGGATGGGAAGTGACCGGCCCACGAAGAGCAGTCAGCACGGACAGGGAGTCCGTGCAAATGACACATCTCATGATACCACTTTCCTCCACAAATAACAGTGCCCGTAGTATAGCGAATGCTTCCGCCGTAAATACAGAGCAGTTACTTGGCAGCTTAAACCTTTCACGTCGGTTTCCAAGTACATACGCACATCCAACACCATCATGGTTCTTTGATCCATCAGTAAAGCAGAAAGAGAACGTTGCATATCTCTCTCTGAGGTCATTAAACTGACATTGCACTTCAATATCAGATAAGTTTGCTTTTCTCTCATTTGTTAGTCGAATCAGATCACATTTCTGCAAGTGCCAAGGCGGGATGGTACCAGATAAGGACGTCAATTCGTTCGGCATATCAAAGTTTGTCTCAGCGCATATAGCCGAGAGCCTCTCATACACAGGGAAGCCTGCGATTCGCTTCAAATAATCACTATCAATGGCAGGCAGCGATGCACCGCGTGATATCAATTCAAGACATGGATGGTTGGGGTCACTCTTCACTCTCAAGCAGTACCGTAAGGTCAAATCGCACCGTCTTAATCTCAGAGGGGGTACGTCTGCTTCCACCATCAGAGGTAGTATGGGGGAGGTTCTAAGCGCGCCCGTAGCAATCCTCACGCATGCATTCTGGATGCTATCAAGCGACTCAACTGTTTTGTTTCGTGGACCATCCAGTATCTGGCATGCATAATCAAGTATTGGCCGTATCATTGATTTGTAAATTCGCAAAAGTATCGTTCTATCCGCTCCACAGTTCCCTCCGGCCAAACATCTTAGGATTGATATACGTTTAGTTGCCTTTCCCTTCACATATTTAATATGTTTGCTCAAATTCAGTCTCGTGTCGAGCAAAACCCCGAGAAACTTGACCTCCTCGGAGTAGCTCAAGTGCTCGTTGTAAAGTCTCAATCGGGGCACAGTGGCTAATTCCCTTGCTTTCATATATCGTCTGAATATAATGGCATTGCATTTGTGCGGTGAAAAAACAAAGCCCCATCTGTCAGCCCATGAACTAACATGGTCGAGAGCTAACTGCATTCGGTCAACTAATTGTGCAATTCTCCTTCCTTGCACCCACATGGTACAATCGTCAGCGTACAGCGCACATGTTGGGTTTCCGGGGACTCCATCAAATATGTCGTTTATCATGATGTTAAACAACACCGGAGAAATTACACCACCCTGTACCAAGCCATTGTCCTGTTCAAATGTATCGGAGAGGCAGCCATTTCTGACTTGAAAGGTTCGGTTATCAAGGTAGGATCGAATGAAGTGCATCATTCGCCCTCTGAAACCAAGTGCGTGCATCTTGGTCAGCAGGGCCGCCGTCGAAATAAGATTATACGCATTCTTAAAATCCAAGAATACAGCTAAAGTATACCGGTTGTAAAAGAAGCCCTGTCTAACATTGGACTCCAGTCGTAGTAAATGATCAGCTGTGCTCCGTCCCTTCCGAAATCCGCATTGAATGGCTGAAAGCATTCCTCCGTTTTCAATAAACCACGCCAGCCGTCTGGTAACCATTCGTTCCATGACCTTACTGAAGCATGATGTAAGCTGTATAGGTCGGTAAGATTCGGGTTGGTGACTTGGCTTCCCGGGTTTAAGGATCGGCACCATAATGGAATGTTTCCAAGTGTCGGGAAGACGCTCTGAAAGCCAAATGTAATTAATCAGCTTTAGGATCTGTGTCAATTGCTCATCATTAAGTTGCTTGAAAAACATGTAGTGAATCTTATCAGGCCCAACAGAGGTATTTCCACAATGGGAAACTGACCATCTCAATTCATCAATAGTAAACATGTCATTGTAGCACTCGTCGTTGTCGCTCGCAAACGATGGAAGCTGTTCGAGCAAAACACTCTCTCTTTCCCTAAAGGCAGCTCTATAATTAATGGACGCCGACATCCCCGAGAAGAAATTCCCGAGCACGTCAGCGACTTCTTTGGGATCGTCTGTCATATTGCCATTGATGCATAATACGGGCAATGGCCGCTGGTAGCGCTCCTTCTTTGCAAAACGCCGTATTATGTCCCATAGTTGTCGCATAGGGGTGGTATGTTTGAACATATGTAGCAGTTTCTCCCAAGAGTCCCGTTTTGCCTGTCTAATAATTCGCCTTGCTCTTGCTTTAGCAGCTTTATATTCCATGAGGTGTAAAGTTTGGTGGCTACGACGAAACCGGTTGAGTGCTCGTCGCCGACTACGAATCGCCTCTTTACATTCCTCAGTCCACCATGGACAAGTGTACTTTGAGTTGTTCCGTTTCATAGGTACGCTATCCTCCGCAGCCCTCAGTAAGGCTTCGGTCATAGCTGTGCAGTTTTCCATTCCTATTCCTTCACAAAATCGTAAGTCGCACTTCTCAGTAAATTCAGACCAGTTGGCCTTATTAGTATTCCATCCCGTGAAATCTGTGTTCCGACAGGTGTCAGTTCCAGGCAGATCAAATGTTATGTATATTGGGCAATGATCACTGGAATATAGATCAGAGTCGGTACACCATTGCAGGTACTGACCTATATTACCCGTGCTCAATGTTAAATCAATATGGGACCATAGTCCAGAGTATTCATCGAGCCGTGTCGGGCTGCCATCGTTAAGAATATTCAGTGCGTGTTGACGAATAACTCGTTCCCATATGACTCCTCTCTGGTCACAACGATCTGCGCCCCACATGTAATGTCGGCTGTTAGCGTCTGTACATATAATAAAAGGTTGTGGCAGCTGGCTCACCAGACCACTGAGAACCTGCTGCGAAAGACGCTCGTTCGGCGGAAGGTACAACGAACAAATACACAGCCGACATCTGCCAGTTGGGACCGATATTGCAACAGCTTGTAGACAAGTATTCAGATTTATCTGACAATGGGGATGTTTATTGTTAACATAAATACTGACTCCTCCCTGTCTCCTGTCCGTATTGGGAAATGCGTTATAAAGAGTGTAATTATTAAGGCGGAAATCATAAGGATCATTAGGGAGAAAATGTGACTCTTGGATGCAAATCACATCTTTGCCTTTTTCCAGTAGCACAGGTTTAATCTCCGGCCATTTTCCAATCATTCCACGAGCATTCCATTGCATGATGGTAAAACTCTTCACACTATTAACCATAACGCTGTTTCTAACTAACTATTCGACGGAAAAGTACCCAGCACGGTCAAGGTCACCTTTGCGCTCGTTCTCGGCTCTGAGGTCGGGCTCACGCCGCGCCCCAGGACCGGGCCCACGCCTAGCCCCCGGGGCCGGCCCGCCGACCTCGCGATAACATCGGGTCACGTGACCTGCCCCACTGCCCCGGGCGCCGGTCGAACCATCCCGGCTCCGACAGAACACGCCCGTTTCATCAGCCCCGCCGCCAAACCGACCCAAAAAAGGATCGCCTGGCAGACTGACGACAACCACCACAAAATCAAATATAACACATGAGATACTGAAACCAGACACCAGATGCAAATCAGGATAAGGAAATAAATAATACATAATCTGGGTACCGACTAAAACCTGCGACAAACGCAGGCAACTGTAATCACTGGAAATAATTGTTCGATATTTGCCAGAAAAAACCACAAACACAGAAATGATGCTTTTGCTGGGTATTGTCTAAGAGTTGGGGGGATGGGAATTGTTTTGCCAACACTGTTTGGACGAAGGAAGTCGCGAAGCACTTTGGGCCCGCTGCATTGGTTTGAGCCGACCACGTTCACCTCGCCCTGGGGCTCGAGTGAATCGAGTCAGCTCGGGGGACGGCGAAATCTCGTCATCCCCAGTCAGTGCTGGAAGGACAGGCATGTTGCCTCCCTTCTTTCCCTTGCCCTTCCTCACAGTTTGCCACTTCCCAATCTCCTTGTCAAAGCCAGTCACTGGTCTTTCATCTGAGTCGACATCACCATGTTTTTGAACCTCCATAGAATCACTCTCTGTCTCTATGCATGAAATCTCACCACTACTCTCTACACCCTGTGCACCGCTGTCAGTGATGCAGGCAGGCTCTGTCTCCTTGTCTGTGCCTTTGGGATCCAATTGTTTGCCCAGAACCTGCTTGAGCAAACCCACCAGCTCTGTCACTGCATCTTCAAGCTTACCCACCCTGGTTTTCAGTTCCTCCTCCTGTGGGGATGAGCTCTGTGGTACCTTAAGGACCTCAGAATATGATTTTGGACTCTGTTTCTGTGCTTGTTCCTCAAATTTTTTCCTCGCCTCCCCAAAGGAAATGTCTTGTTCTACTTTCATTCTACATATTGCCCTCTCTTTGACCCATATCTCACACCTCCTATCCTGACAGGAGTGGCCACTCTTGCCACAGTTGATGCACTTTGGAGTGCACTCTCCCTCATGACTCGGTTCCCCACAGACAAGACACACACGATCATCCTTGCATGTCGTTTCAGAATGGCCAAATTTACCACATTTGTAACACATCATTGGATTTGGGATGTACTGGTCAACTTTGTAAGTGACATAGTCCAAAGAAATCCTAGAAGGGCAGGTGGGGGTATCAAAAGTTAGAAGGAGTGTTGCTGTCCTTTCAGTGCGCCCATTGACCTTCCTTGTGAACCTTTTGACCTTTGTGACACCAAACTCTTTCAACCACCCAGCTACTTCCTCCTCAGACAGTTCCATCAGGTCGTGGGCCCGCACGATACCCCGGGAGGTGTTGAGCCGTTCATCCCTGATCACCTGACACTCCTCACCTGCAAACATTTGAACTTTCAGAAGCTTGGAAGTCTGAGACTCATTTTTTGTCCTCATCAGCAGCCCACCATCAGCCAAGAGGCTAGCTTTAGCCAACCTATCATCAGGTCCCAGTATCCCTCTGATTCCGAGCTGAACCCAAGGCCATCCCTTTGATTTAAATGAAACATCAGATAACAACTTTACCTTCAAGAAAGACCCTGTGTTGTTGGACTCTCCTCCGTCAAAGAAAAACTCGTCAGGTCGCACCCGCTTTACGGGCCGCCTCCGATCCATCACTGCATCACCTCTTACTTCAAAGAAAGAACTTGCCTTGCAAACGAAACAGAAAATAGAAACCAATGAACCCAAACTCCAACACCCTCAGTAACGCGCGAGAGATCGCAGCTAAACTCGAGCCCCGAAAACCATCAAAGCTCTGTAAATAGTCCCGAAAGAGTGCATGCGCTTTGTTTGTCTGATGTGCGTCATTTACGAAACTTGTTTACATTGCATTTAGCTCATTTTTTAGCCTCCGAGGAAAATAACAAACAGCTTGTAAATGGCCATTGGAATGGCAATGCTCGATAAAAATAGTTTTTCATCGCTACGTTTTATGTTTAAGTGACTAAATGGCTTAAATATCCTTACATTTATCGTAGGAGCTCTTCTCCTAAATTTACCCCGCGTTCGTAGCCTCCCGGACGACGAAGAATCAACGCCGTCCGGCCAATCTCGTTCGAGGTCGTCGGGGGCTGGGCCGCGGTTTTCGAACGTTATTGGCCGGACGCATGGGCGCCGCCACCGGGGGGGACGGGGGGGACGCGTCCCCCCCACTCTCAGAATGGAAGGGGGACGTCCCCCCCAAACTCATTACGGAGCGAACGAAGCGAGCGTAGTCTTTCGGGAAATTTCTGAGTATGAGCGGCCGGCCGGCCATGGTCACGCTTTTGCGAGACTTATGTCTCAGGAACCACTTGACTGATTTACATGCGGTAATTTTTGTAGGGTAGCTTCATTCCTTCTAACAAGTATTGAACTATTCTCGATGCATGTGGGTGACCCATTATGCACCCGTCACGTGAAAAACGAAGAGGTGTCAGTTTTGTAACAATTGCAATAGGTATCTCGGTAACATACTGGGCCGATTGCGCTGAAAGTTGGCATGTAGGTAGGTAGGCACCCACCAGGCAATGCATATCCATGACCATGTGCCACAGTTGGGTTGCTGCTGCACGTGCGCACGTGCAGGGGTCGATTCCAGATCTCGAGAACGGCTGAACCGATTGTGCTGAAAGTTGACACATGGTTAGGGACCGGTTATTAGGGTGCCGTGCAAAAGTCAGTTGGGACCCATTTTGCACGTGCGCACGTGCAGGGTGCCGCTTACAGATCTCGAGAACGGCCAGGCCGATTGCGCTCAAATTTGGCACATCGTTAGAAGCTGGTTAGTAGGGTGCAGTGCACAAGTTTCTTGGAGGTACCCCCTCGCAATTTCGTACGTGCAAGGCCCACCCCCTCGCTCGCTCCGTTAGTCGCCCCAAAAGGCGTTTTACTGGTTGTTTTCCTACTCGAAATTTGATTAGGCCCTTCGGTCCAATGAGACCATTTCAGAGCCGGAAGGATGAAAGAATTAGTGGGAGAAATTGGTCTGGGCAGCCACCCCAGTGAGCCACTTGGGCTGAACTCGACCAATTGAACAGGCAGCCCAGCCCACTGGCACTCACTGTACCCGGCAACGGACTCTAGCTCCAGTGGAGTGATTCCCGCATGGGATAGAGTTGCCCGTCCAGCCCGGAGCAGGGGATCGCGGCGTGGAGGAGAAGGATTTGACTGTCCGAGGATGGAAGAGATGGAACGGCCGGTGCCGAATCTGAGAGGGTCCAGGAGGTTTAGATACTCAGTATATGGGGTATGGGCCTACATGCATTGGTCTGACCCCTGCCACCTCGGCCAACAAAATCTCCAGCTCTTATCCGACCTGTCATCGCGGAACTGCCGATTTTTGATATCGTGATCAACGTGTGTCGTATAACACGACTGGCCGAAAACGGGCATAATATATTTCGTCTAACCAGCCAAGAGCATGACTTTAAACCAATCCGACCTCGGAGTCAAAATCTGAACAATTTCGAAGACTTCAACTCCGACTCTGGCCAAAACTGTCAACTCCGACTGATTCCGGCTCCGACCCCACAGTTCTGCAGTCACACTACACTAAATTTTCAGCTTCTAAGAAACCAGTAAAACGCCTATTGGGCGAAGAACGAGCGAGCGAGGTAGTGAGCCCTGCACGTGCGGAAGGGCGAGAGGGTACTTCCAACGGGACTTGTGCAAAGCACCCTTCTAACCGGTCGCTAGCGGTGTGCCAAATTTGAACGCAATCGGCCCAGCCGTTCCTGAGATCTGGAAGCAGCATTCTGCACGTGCGCACGTGCTAACGGGGTCCAAAATGACTTTTGCACGGCACCCTACTAACCAGTCCCCAACCGTGTACCAAATTTGAGCGCAATCGGCCCAGCCGTTCTCGAGATCTGGAAACGCCCCCTGCACGTGCGCACGTGCAGTAGCACCCTAACCGCAACACATGGGAATGCATTGTCTGGTGGGTGCTACCTGTATGCCAAGTTTCAGCGAAATCGCCCCAGTAATTACCGAGTTATTAAAATGGAAACAAATTTGACACCTCTTATTGTTGTATTTTGCACGTGCACTGGGGGTGACCCACATGCACCGAGAGTATCCTATTTTTGGTAGAAAGGATGCAGCTACACGATAAAAATTACCGCAAGTCAATCGCCCAAGCGGCTGCTGAGATATGAGCCTCTCAAAATCACTACTTTTGCAAAACAGCTTGAACACCCTTGACTTTTCACGTGGCACGTGCCACGACGGTCACTGAGATGTATCGAAAGTAGTCAATTACGGGGTAGAAGGGATGGGGCTACCCAGCAAAAAAGACCGCAGGCCAATCGGCCCAGCGGTTGCTGAGATATAAACCTCTCAAAAGCGTTACAGGCCGGGCCGGGCCGGGCCGGGCCGCTCATACTGAGATTTTTCCGTTATATTGAAAAGACTCGCTTCGCTCGCTGCGCTCGCTCGCTCGTAATAAGCTATACCGTTGACAGGACCAAGATTCTTGACAGGACCACAAAACTTTGAGGCGACTTGACTACTTGACTTGGTGACCTGACCTAAGGTTTTCTGGTATCAAGCTTGTTAAACGGGCTGCAAAATTCGTATTTTAGAGCAGTTTTGCCTGATGTTTTTTGCCAATTTTCGCGGCGCTTCGCGCCGATTCATGCACGACCCAGACAGAGAGATTGTAACTATACAACGCCTCCTCCCCCACGCGGGTATGCACTATGCATTACCTATAGGTGATTACGAAGTTCAAACCAGCTGAATGCTGATTGGCTGGCATTTTTCCGTAAGGGAATGGATTCCTCGGTGAGGGAATGACAAAGTGTAATTATGGGAATGACTTCAGTCTTCAAACCTAAAATCGATACCGATATCTTTGGCTAGGGTGATCGTTGAGCCATAAAAGCTCCTGATTTGTTCTCGTCTCAGCTCAGGCTACAAAACTGTTACTTCAGTTCAAAACCCAATGTTTAAAGTGGCATATTTGCTTTAAACTTTGAATGCATCGGACCGAAAAAGCCACGGTAAGAATGCCTACTTTTGGGTTTTCAGTCGGTCAGTCCGTCCCCCCCCCCCCAGTCAAAAATCCGTGGCGGCGCCCCTGGCCGGACGACGTTTACGTCGTCCGTGACCGTACGTCGAGACTGGGCAAGATAAATGACTTTCGGCTCCGCGTCTTCTAATGATGTTTTGGGCTGGCTTCAGCTGGGGCTCGGAACTGCAAAGATCATCACAATGTCCTCGGCACTCATCGGCAATGAGAATCGACTGGGCTGGGGCTGGGAGGTGTGAGATGGTAGGAAGGAGGCCGGACGGTGGACCCAGAGTGTTAACTCTAGATGGACTTACCGGCTTCCTACATACGGCTCTGGCCTCTGGTGGGGGGAGGGGGGAGGGGCGGAAGGAGCCGGGTGGCAGAACCGATCGGAGGGTGGGTGTGGAATTTCCTCGCCCTGACACACAGGTTTGTCTTGCCCCTTATTGAGCTATTAGAGCCCCGCGGAAAAAAACGAGTGTGTACGCCATAGTAGAGACGCATGCGATTGGAACATGCCCGGCTTAAAGGTCTCCTAAGGCAGTGGCGGCGGAACACCTTCAATTAAGGGGGGCACTGCCGACTTTTGGTCCCATTCTTTCCATGCAACGCCCATATGGGTTAACCCGCGCCCTGCTGGGGGGGTGTTTGAACACCCCCCTTGTGGTTTTTCGCAAATATCTCAAAAACAGCGGCGCGGAGCGCCGCCGTTTTTGGTACACCTTATCATACATCAATTCTACACATGTTGTGAAAATTTCAGACCAAGGTCATTCAAGGTCAGGTCACCAGGTCACTTGAAGTGACCTCACCTCATAAAAAGTTTCAATGTCTGTCATAGCTACACCGAGTGACCGATCGCTTTGAAACTTTCAGCGATTGCTAAGAGCAATAGCATGTACAAAATGTATATCTCAGAATTTTGATATCGATGACCTAAGGTCAGGTCAATTTTGCGACCTCCCCATTATAAGTCAATGGGAGAAAATTGAAATGCGCCTCTTTTGGACGAAAGACATTATAAACACTCCCAAACACCGAATTACAAGTGTTTTAGACACACTGAACATGAAAATGGTGTCCGTGACCCCTGTTTGTGCCCTGAGGTCATCTTAGGTCACGAATGGTATCGAACAGTTTTTCGCAAATAACTTTTGATAGAGGCATGCTAGAGCGATGACAACGCCTTATATGTGTTCAGCTCGACGATACCGATCGACTGATATGCAACATGACCCTTTCCGGTCAGGTCATGACCTTGACCTGAGGTCAAATTTTCAAGTTGACCTTTCAAGGTCAAGTTATAGTTCATTCGATGCGTCTTGACGAGAGGAACACGATGCCGGTAAAAGTAAGCTCGTACAAAGCTTGGGTCAAAAGTTATTGCAGAAAAACTGTTTCCGAAAAAATCGGCTATTTTTGCAGTTTTTGCCCCCTGTAGGCAAATCCGTTGACGTTAGGTCAAATCTGAGAGAATTACTCAGAAAGGGCGTTTATAGGGCTATCGAATGCACTTTTCCGCGGCGCTGTAGCTCTATTGGTTCCCGAGTTATGCGTTGGCTTCTTGGAAATTTTCGACATTCGACCTGGAAATCGGCGAAATTTTGTCTTCAATGACCTCTGGTGACCTGACCTTTGACCTGACCAAAAAATTGACCGAAGTGATTTCGTCATTATTTTTTACGCTCTTTCGAACGCCGCCTTCCGCGTATCGCTACGTGGCCCAGGAGCCGAGTTACAAGGGGGGGGGG